GCCACTGTCCCCTGGCAGCTCCAAGGAGCAGGCAGAGGTGGCTCTGATGGTGGAGGGCTCTCAGAGGCCGCCTGCTCACTCTCATTCCTCCTGAGATGTGAATGCAAAATATCAATATCAATAAATCTAATTTTTCCTTGGGTTTGAGTCCTTTCGTGGCCACAGCAGGAAAACAACCAGTCCCACTAAATTTGATCTCTCCTTTTTAGTGCAGCTGATAAGCAAATAATGGAACACAGACATCAATTTTCCCCACAGAAGAACGGGGCAGCACCTGGGGCATCTCTCCCTTATCCAACCTGCTCTGCATCCACTCCTGGAGCTGTGTGGCAGCACAGGGACATCTCCTGGCAGGGCACTGAGGAAAACAGCAAGAAATGGGTGCCCTGTGCCCACCCTGGTGACAAGCAGAACTCAGGAAAGGACTTGGGCTGTTACACTGTGCTGGTGTCTGCTCCAAATCCAGAGATGTTTTGGGCTCTTGGCAAATTCTGATTGTTTTTTGCCAGGGGGATGGATAATCATCACATTGTTTCCACAGTCGTCCTACAAATTATTTTGATAATAAGGGACCTCCTGTGACATTAAGTACATTTTAATTACAACATTGTCTGTAATGCATATATCTAATTGCAAATAATTATTTTATCATATTTTGTCTGTAGGCCTGTTAGATGCATCAGATATTATCTTCTGACTCAGTGGTACAGGTTAATTAAAATTTCTCTTTTAATACTGTTTCAAAGCCAACCACATAATTTCATCTGAACACCAGCTGTGTCAGTAAAAAATTATTTTTTTGTTAGTTTTGGTCATGCTTGTCCATGGAGGAAAACCCGAGCTGTTTCTGCAGGCTGTAATTACTGCACTGCTTTCTGCAGTTGTTCATTTGCAAAGGAAGAAAAGAAGGAAGAATGTGAGGAACATCAGTGGCCAGTGGTTGCTTTGTGTGATACTGCTTCATTTTGAAGGATTTTTTTTGTTCTCCTTCTCATGTACAAAAAAGCATTTGAGATCTTCTCTTCAGAAGGAGAACTGAAGATACCACACAGCCTGGTTTGTCAGGATGAACTGCACTAAGACAATCAGAGTGGTCATTTTGGGTGCTAACAAAGCCCAGCTCAAGGGTGATCCCAGTCAGAGTGGTCACTCTGGGTGTTTACAAAGTCCAGCTTAAGGGTGATCCCAGGCAGAGTGGTCATTCTGGGTGCTATAACAAAGCCCAGCTTAAAGGTGATCCCAGTCAGAGTGGTCATTCTGGGTGCTAATAAAGCCCAGCTTAAGGGTGATCCCAGTCACAGTGGTCATTCTGGGTGTTTACAAAACCCAGCTTAAAGGTGATCCCAGCCAGAGTGGTCACTCTGGGTGCTATAACAAAACCCAGCTTAAAGGTGATCCCAGCCAGAGTGGTCACTCTGGGTGCTATAACAAAGCCCAGCTCAAGGGTGATCCCAGTCAGCTGCTTCCTCCCTCATTCATTTTTCCTCTGAGTGATAAAGACCCAAAGCAAGATGAGACAAAAATGAAAGTATGAACATAACGTTCAGTCAAAGAAAAAAAAGACTTTAGGTAAAATACACAGCAATGTAAACCCAAGGAAGCTGAGGAGGGGACAAGAGGACAACAAAAACTCTTTCTGCAGCTGGCAGGACCCTTCCTCTGAAAGTTGCAGGAACAACTGACCCTTATTTCCCCCTCTGAGCATCCTTTGCTGGGACCAGAAGTGTTTCTGCCCCTCAGAGCTGTTTCAGACCCCACACTCTGAGCCCGTGTGCTCAGGGCTGGCAGGGACAGGGTTAACAGCGTCCCCAAAGGAGGGGACGGGGCTCTGCCTCACCCGGCCAGAGGTGAACGCTGCCAGGAGGAAATTGCTGCTGCAGCTCCAGCGAGATCACAAGTGACCTTTCCTCTTGGAGAGGGGCGAAGTAAACAACACTTATCTGGGATTTAATGCGCCCGAGACAAGCAGCGCTTTATCTCTGCTCCACACCACAAGGAGCAGGGAGGCACAGGGATGATTTTCCTGTTTTTACCACATAAGCCATCTCTTAGGACAGCCCTCAAGTTGAGCTGAAGCGTTTCCTCATGGAAAGATCTCTCTTGGAGCAGCAGTGGGTTATGGGCTTGCACAACGCGCCACACAAACTCCTTCGTGCAGTTCAACCTTTGGCAAAGGCACTCTGAGCTCTCCTTGGTGGGTTGATATTTTTACTCCATGAAAATTTCACTTCCTCCAGACTGTTTCCTTCAGGGACATGCAATCCCTGTTCTTTCTATTTCGGAATTTTTTCCATCAGTAGACATAAATCCTTCCCTTTTCCCCTCTGCACAGTTGGAGATTCTGGCAGAAGGAAATCTGACAGGGATTTTTGACAGTGGATTTCTCCTGTCTGTCATTTTCACTATAAGAATGACATCTGACTGCCTCATAGGCTGCAATGGGTGGAAAATTTTCCAGCAGGATTTTCCTAAATAAACCTCCACAGGCCAAGGGACAGTGGGAGCTGCTTTGGGTGCCAAATGAGAAGGGCTGGAGGAGACTCTCAGTGAGGGTTAAATGGATGGGACACCTTCGCTTCCATAAACTCCAAACCTTTGCAGAAGCTGATCCATGGAAATCAGATCACAGGATCCAGGCTTAGAAGAAACAATTTAGCAGAAATTAATCACTTTCTGTGTGGTTTGAGCCTGAAGCAGAGCTTTACAGGAGCAGGGGAATATGCCTGGATGTCCTACAGGAACACTGCTAGGAAAATAACCCCTCAAACCCAGAGCCCACTGGAAAAGTCTTTTCCACAGGTTTAGTCATACCAGGGCAGAGAGGGCAGAGCCTCATTTCATTAAGCAGCACGCTGGCACAGCACCAAAGCTCTGCCAAGCTCTGCACCCGAGCCAGGAAGCATCCAGGGAGCTGATTCCAAGGCAGCACCTTAATGGATGTGTTGGACCAAGGATATGCAAGAGGACACAAAACCAACTTTGGAAACGCAATCTGAAGCATTTGGTTTGAAGGACAGAAAGTCAGTGGTGGCATTCCATGCTAAGGAAACCATTACCTCACCTGTAGGTTGTCTCCTGTGTTTGCTTTTCCCCTACCTTTTCTCCTGGGCTCAGTATAAAGTGTTGTATTGACACAAGCAAGTGGAGGAGTTCCGTAATTTAATCTCTGCCATTAAAATTTCAGGCTCCACGGGAAAAGAAACCCTGCCTGTTCATCAGGTCCAGCGAAATTCAGGTGGCAGCCGGTGTCACATTTCCACAAACTCCACAAACCCTGCAGCACCAGGCTGCTTCCAGCACTGGGTGGGGAAAGAAGGAAGGGCATGAGCTGTGTGATCCAGGGAGAGCGTGCTGGCCTGCGGTGCAAACTCATATTAATAATTCAGGCCACTCTATTTTGGACTGGGAATGTGCTGCCCCTCACCTGTACTGCTCAAGGCAGTGCCTGAAATAGAAGCTGCAGCAGGAGCAGCCCCGAGGGCAGTGCCAGCAGCCTGGCGGGGCGGGCACTGCAGGGCAGCCTCTGCAAGGTCAGCCCTTCCCCTTGGTCAGGGAGCCTTGGCTGAGCTGTGACAGCCCAGAACTCTCCCCCAGACTGATGGAGGCTGGTCTGTCCTCCTGTGAGCCCAGCCAGGAGGCACGAGGAGGATTTTCCCAAGGAATACTGAACCCCTGCCCAGCGCTGCCATGCCTGTGCTGGCATTCTCACCTCCCTCAGGACACCACACGGTGCTGGGGCCTTTAACAATGTAATTCTGCCACAAGTGATCACTGCTCTGCTGCCTGAAGTGACTGCTTTTTATAGATTTTACCTCAGATCCTGAAAGCTGAATGACCAAATCTTTTTCAGGAAATTATTCTACCTTAAGCACCGGCTTTCGGAAATGCATCATCTGACTTTCTGGAAATTGCAAATGTTGCATTGTCCGAAAACACAAGTCACAAGTGGTTCTCCTGCACAGGCTGAAGTCACTGCTGCAGGTTTACTGGCATTCTCTGGCTTGTGCTGTCCTACACCAGCTCCTAAGTGAATCATTTGAAAAGTTGTATTTGGTGATGTTTGAACTCAAAGGAAGAACAAGGACTATCCCAGAGCACTGTGATTCCAGGCATGGCATCTCTGCTCCCTGGAGCTTTTCACAGGCAGAATTTCCAGCACACCTCAAACCAGTGATTGCCTAAAGCTATGTAGTTTGGTGCTAAGCACCACAACCATGCCCTGCTTATCACACAAGTTATCAGACATCAGAAGCACCACAATCCCTGAATCTGCAATGGCTCCTTTCTTAACAAAGCAGACGTGAAAAAAAACCGTGCAACAATGAGAAACTGACAGAAGAAACAAACTGGAAGCTGTTACTTTTGCAAATCAATTAAAATAAAAGGGAAGGGAAAAAAATTAACAAGAACAAGCCAAGAGTTTAGTTATGTGCTTCCTCAGCCAGCTGCAGAAATTGATTTGTGCCAATGGAAGGGGAGAGCCAGAACAGCCCAATTCACTCTCCTCAGGAAGATGCTGAAATCACACCACATGACCCAAAATGTGAGACAATTGCTGGAGAGTGAGAACTGCTCCGGAAGGAGATGGTGTGTCATGGTGTGATGGGAAGGGTGTGCTACAGGAATTATTGCCAGTGATGGGAAGGGTGTGCAATAGGAATTATTTCCAGTGATGGGAAGGGTGTGCAATAGGAATTATTCCCAATGATAGGAAGGTTGTGCAATAGGAATTATTCCCAGTGATAGGAAGGTTGTGCAATAGGAATTACCTGGGATGGGAAGGGTGTGCAATAGGAATTACCTGTGATGGGGAGGATGTGCAATAGGAATTACCAATGATGGGAAGGGTGTGCAATGGGAATTATTCCCAATGATGGGAAAGGTGTGCAATAGGAATTATCTGGGATTGGAAGAGTGTGCAATAGGAATTATTCCCAATGATGGTAGGGTGTGCTATAGCAATTATTCCCAATGATGGTAGGGTGTGCAATAGGAATTACCTGGGACGGGAAGGGTGTGCAACAGGAATCACTGCAAGCCTGAGCCCAGCTCCAAGGCAAGGGACGATGTGACAGCAGGGAATTTTCTGACTCCAAGCATTCAGCCTTTCTGTGTAAGAAAAGGGATTAATCAGTTTTTTTTTTTCATTTTCAACGCTGTGCATCATCACTACCCATCTTCCTGACTCCAGCAAGTGATTCCTCACTTCTTACCACAGGGTTTGGTGGCACAGCCAGCCCTTGCTCTGCCCTTCCACAACCTAGCTGTGCTGCAGAGGGGCAGAGCTGTGCCATGCTCAAAAGCAGGGCAAGCACTGCCTGCAGCCCCCTACTCCATTATTTGTGCATTTATTTGTCCACTGCGACTTCCAAGCAGAGCCTTTCCCTGCTCCTGCATGCACAGGAGGAGCTGGGACTGCCCTGTCCCCAGGGGGATGTGTTTAGGGCTTGTTGACCTGTTGTTTCAGTGACCTCAGGCCTCTGCAACAGAAACGATTGCTGAGAGGGCTCAGAGGAAGTGAGATTTCTGCTTCTAACAATAGTAATTCCTGTGACGTTTTATTTTATACACCAATTCATGGATGATAAAGCAATTTCTATGTGATGTGCAAATTGATTTTTACATCATTTTGTTAAAAACTAACACGCATATACGCAAGCCATTTCCCTGAAACCCCTTGCTTGTTTTCTTTCTTAGGACCACAACCTGCTTTGAAACTCACTAGAATTTACTTTTTAGCCCAGGAATTTTACTGGGGGCATCTGAGGGCCTTTAACTGAAACCCTGCTGGCTTCTGCTTCTGGGATGGATTGTGCTTTTGTTGTGTAACTAAGAGCCTGCTCTTTTACCTTCCCTGGGTGTAAAGACAGGGAAGAAATGAATAAGATGTCTTTACACAGAATATGTGCAAAGACATATTATTTATATACTTATATATTTATATACTTACAATGCAAGTGACTATTCAAAACCTGAGTGTTTTTCAGTGGAGATCTGCAATGAATATGGGGGAGAATTTTTTCCCTGTGAGGATGGGGTGGCACAGGATGCCCTAGAATCCCCGGAAGCGTCCAAGGCCAGGCTGGACGGGGCTTGGAGCCCCCTGGGACAGTGGAAACTGGAAGGGCTTTAAGCTCCTTCCCACCCAAACCTGTGGTTCAGCGGTTCCGTGGCAAACCCAGAGCCTACCTAGGAGCCAGCTCCATTCCCGCTGCCCTGCCCGGGGCATTCCCGCGACTCTCCGGGATGCTCCGCTGCGCATCGCGGCGGTCCCTGGAGCCGCGCGGGGCCCCGCCGTGCCCGGGGGCTCCTCCCGGAGCTGCCCCCGGTAATTCCCGGTGGTTTCTCCCGGGGGTCCCGGTGCGCGGGCTCCCGGCGGCCGCCCCGGTGACGTCAGCGCCACGCCGCGGTGACGTCAGGAGCGGGGCGGGCGGCAGCTCCCGGCGCGCCCCGCGCAGGGCGGGGGGCGGGAGCGGCGGCGGCGCGGGGAGCGCGCCCGGCGCTGCGCCTCCATCCCTGCCCGCCGTGCCGCCGGCATGTTCTCCAGGAAGAGCCACGCCGACGTCAGGAAATCCACGCAGAAGGCGCTGGACCCCAAGCGGGACGTGCTGACCCGCCTGAAGCACCTCCGCGCTCTGCTGGGTGAGCGGGCGGTGGGCGCGGGGGGAGCCGGCCCCGGGGCCCTCAGACCCTCGGGGGGTGCCCGGGCAGAGCCGCGGCCGCGGGCGGGTCTGCGAGCGCTGCTCGCCCTCCGCTGCCGTGTCCGGGAGACAGCAGCGAGCTGTAGCAGTTCTCCGAGGGTAGCAGCTCTCCGTGCTGTGGGCAGGGAGCCTCCTCAGCCAGCGCCGGGCTCTCCCCGCCTCAGAGGCGGCCCCGGTGCGCGCCCACCGTGAGGCGCTGCCGGAGAAAGTTTGGGGTGCCCGGGGAAAGCCGCGTGTGCCGCTGTCCCGGGGCTCGCCTTGGGCTCGCTGTGGAGCCGCGGGGAAACACTCAGCCCTGGTCAGTTTCAGAGACAAGCTCGCAGAAACTCCGCTCTTGTCAATATCATCAACTCGGGGTGTTTGAACTCTGAGAGAAGTCGCTCTGTGGCGTTTTGTGGTGACTCCATGCTTGGGGCAAGGCTGGATGGGTCCAGGGGCGCCTTGCAGGTGGCGGCTTCCACCCTGATGGTCGTGGAAAGCCACCGATGAGTTTCGGCTGTGATCCTGCTGCAGGTGGAGAGCCACCGATGAGTTTCAGCTGCGAGCCGCGGTTCGGGAGGGTGTGTGTGGCCTCTGTTGGCTGTTCACGGGCGGCAGGAGGAGCAGGGTGTCCTGAGGGGAAGAGGCTGTGCCGGGTTAGTGCTGTACCCCGCTGGTTTGCAGGTGATGCCGGTTTGTTCCAGGTGCGGGTGCCGTACTTGTTCCTTGGGAGCTCCTTAAGGAGCTGGCTGGGAGCAGCCGCTGGGGGACAGAGTGTGGGGTAGATTTGGCCTGGATTTCTCAATTCAAGGTGTTTGTGGGCGCTGATTTCAATTAAAGGATTTTGTGGGGCTGTGATGTGTCCAGCTGCCCGGCGGGTCAGTGCAGGCACTGTCCGAGCAGCTCTGGGTATGCCCCTGATGTTTCTGCTCTTGGCAAGCCCGGGGTAAACATTCCAGGTAGCACGGGAGTGGCTTCTGGAAGATGCTCTCTTGATAGATACCCTCGCCTGGGTGTCTTCTGTTCACCACAGAAAAAAAACTCCACACGTGGGAGTTGTTAAAAAAAAATCTCCAGCATGTAAAGCTTTTGGTATAAAGGCTCAAAAGTAGTTGGATTTTTTTTTTTTTTTTTAATATAAAGGCTCAAAAGTAGTTGGATTTCTTTTTTTTCTCCTTCCCTCCAGATGTGTCTCTCCTAGCCATGGCCAGGGGTAGGATTGTGTGTATCTGCTTCTCCAACTGCTTCCCTCAGGCCACAGTGCCCCACGTCCTCCAAATAGCTGTTCCTGCTCTCCTTTCCTTGGGAGATGCCAGCTCCTCTTCCTTTGTTAGTTTCAATCACGGGAATTTAATTGTAAACAAAATGTCAGTTACTCCTCTGTGATTCCACTGGAGCAGGAGGATACAGATCAGAGGGGAAGACGATCATAGGGGAGGGATGAGCAAAAGGAATGTGTGTTTCCATAAATAAGGACTCGTGTGAGCTTTGGATTTCTTCAGGTCCCTTAGTGGCACCTCTGTAAGTTTGTCCAGTGCCCAAAGTGAAAGAAAATATTCCACTTAAGTTGGTGTTGGTTATGTTGGTATCTCTCAAGCCTCCAATGGCCTTTAGGACCCGAGTTCCAGCTCTGTGGGGTGCTCTGTCCACATGGCAGGGCAAAACGCTACCCAGATCAACAACAGGACTTAAAATTGGCTGTTCAGTTGTGTTTGAGAAATGACCAGAACATTTCCCTTATTTCTTTATTGCTATGGAGATGTTCTCACAGCCAGAACTTCTGTTAACTTAGTAAAGTTCTAAATGCAGTTTGTGGAAGTGCCTTCTAGTAGTGTGGCCTTTTTTTATAAAATAGACTTAAAAAATAATGGCCTGACAAAGAGTGGTGGGGATGTACAGATTTGGCTCTTCCCCACATAAATGAAGCTTCTGCTCTTCCCCAGAGTGGTTTCTGTGGGACTTTGGTAGGATTGCTGCACCTTGAGAATTTTCTCTGTAAAAAAAAATTTTCTTCTTGGGTAAAAATGTCATTTTTATATTGAAACTTCTCTTTCAATAGTGTGTTCTCCTTGGGCACAGGAGTCAGGAGTGCTGCTGCTAACAGATGTGGGATGCTGCTTTGTCCAGTGCTTTCAGCCTTTTCTCTGTGAGCAAACACGTGGGAGGCACACAGAATTAAGACTAAATGTGAAATTTGCAAGGTTACCAAGTGCAATCCTTAATTGTTGCCTTTAAAATGTACCTGTTATGAAAGCCCATGCTTTCCATGGACGTGCCTTGATCAGAGATGGGATAACAAAGGAGAGTAATGGGGTTTTGGTTCTGGCACTGCTTGGCCTCTTGTAGTTTTCTGCACAGCTGCAGGACCAATGCTGGCTGGGCAGAAACTTTCATTTACTGACACTCGAAAGGGGATGTGTGCGCACTTCCTGCTGAATTCAGGGCTGGGATTGTTCTGTGGAGCTGCTGTGAAATTGGAGGTGTTAACATCATTTTGGAAGCTGTTCCAGTTGGAGGGGTGTTTTGGTAACGGGCTGTTTCGTGCTGACATACTTTTTTTGAAGATAAGTGAGAATTGTGCATTATTTCTGGGGTGAGGCTGGTCGTAAAGGTTTATCATTAACCAGGGTGTGGCTGCAAAATTCTCTTCATCTCCTTTAATTTTTCAAGTACTTGAGGATTAAGAGAGCTTTGAGAAGATAGCATGAAGTGACTTTGGAAGTTCATGGAGTTAAGGGATGACTTCTAACAGGTGCCTGTGATAACATTTAGCAGTTAAGAGGAAAATAAAAGGCAAGGTTGTGTGGTAGGGACAAGCTTAGTGTTCCCTCTGGGTTTTTTTTAGTATGAGGAACAGCAATGAGGGTTTGGCAATAGACTCAGGCTCTTAAGTGGTACCTGAGTGTTACCCTAAATTTTAAATTTATAGTAAGGCAATTCAGTGTGACTGACAGTTATGGGTGAGCCAACGTGTCCTGTTTATAGAGAAGAAATAGGGCGTGACCCTGGTGAGTGTCTCGCTGTTTCCTGAGTGTTGCTGCAGCAGCTCCTGTCAGGTGTTAGCTCGACTTGTGAGCTTGTCCTGTGTGGGAATGAGGGAAGTTATTTGGGTTTGGGGTGGCTGCTGGTGCTTGCCTGAGGGGTGAGTGCTCTGGGTGCCTGTGTGCAGCTGTGGTAACCTGGGAGATAATTCCATGAATTTACTCTGGGAGTAAATCTAAAAATAAACCCAAATTCCTGCACTTCAGCCCCAAGCTTGCTGCCTCATTTCCTCGGGTGCTTCTCAACTCCTTCGGGCAGCGCATTCCCCCAAAGTCAGGGTTTTATCTTGTTACTATCTCAAGTGATAAATGGCGCAGGAAACTTTCCCCCATGTTTTCCATGTGAGAAGCAGGAATGAGCCCTGCTGGAAGTTAGACACATCTGTGGGAAAGGGCTGTGGCTGTAGGGATGCAGCTCAAATCACACTCACCCCTGAGTCACCATCGAGATTCCACATTTAGAAAAAAAGGAGGATTTGCTTTCTTGGTGAGGCAGTTCCTTTCTCTTCCCGTCGCAATTTAGAGGGAAAGTTTCCTTTTTGTTTAGATTTTAATGACCTCATTCCCTCATATGAAATCCCTGTAAATGAAAGCCTTGTTTTCCCCTGGAGTTGTGTTTAACAGGATGCATTCATGGAGAGGAATAATTGCACTTAGCTTGCAAATTCAGAGCGGTAGTTTGCAGGAAACAAATATCACGTTAAAGAGTTTCCCTGCTCTAATTGTTTCCATAGTACAAGCAGCCAAGCAGAGCCTTACTGCTGGAAAGGTACTAATTTAAATAAAAATCAGTTTGCCCAGGACTAAAGTTATTCTTTCTTCTGTAGTTGTGGGATATTATTGAGCCTTCTTGCTGGAATCAGCTTTATTTTGGGTAACAGACGGGTTTCTTGCAAGGTGAGGCTTCAAGGAGGATATTAATATTGATATTAATTTATTAATTTTGGCCCTTCATCTTCTTCTGGGGGAAATGACGCAACTTTCCTTGACCCAATCAGTTGCAGTAGGGACCAAAGGGAGGAAATTCATGTGTGTTTAGCAAGTGTCATGCTTAGAAAACAGTGGACTTCTTTCTTTGTAGAAAATAAACTTATTTCAAATTTCAGACCCAAGTTAACACTTAGGAAAGTGCTACATGCTCAACTTGCCATTATTTTAAGAAATGAATTGAGAATATGCTGTTTTCTGGTTTGATCTGCTTGCCTGATGAATGCAAAAGCTGAAATTGCGTCCAAAAAATTTTGCTGGTGTTTTTCTCCAGCAGTACCCGCTTGTTTTGATGGTACAGAGGCCATTTGGTTACACAGCTAAGACTCAACCCATCTTTTTTTTTTCCTCTTTTTTCCTCCTTTTTTTTCCTCTTTTTTTTTCCTCTTTTTTTTTTCCTCTTTTTTTCTCTTTTTTTTTCCTCTTTTTTCCTCTTTTTTTTTCCTCTTTTTTTTTCCTCTTTTTTTTTCCTCTTTTTTTTCCTCTTTTTTTTTCCTCTTTTTTTTTTCCTCTTTTTTTTTCCTCTTTTTTTTTCTCTTTTTTTCCTCTTTTTTTTTCCTCTTT